CCACCGCCGGGACCCCAAGTCATGAGAAACGTGTTCGCTGCTGCCGTGAGATAGCCTGGGCCAGGGCAAAACCTGCAGGCAGCGTCCGGCAGAGGCGTGCGGGCAGGTGGGGGTTATGTGGACTGGCCATCTTCACGCTTACAATTAAACCCTCAGCTCTTAATTTTTGCTTTAATTTTGTTAAATTTTCATCGCTGGGACAGGGCTGAGCATGACATGGTCGGGGATGGTCCTGGGATGCTGAGCTCCCCCTTCTCCCACCTGCAAGATACCCCACAAGGTGCCAAATGACATGAGTAATCGTTAAGCCAGCACTCGAGTGACTCATTAGTGACAATCACCACTGATTTATTTTTTTTCCAGCTGATACTTTCAGCTGATTTTCCCTGCTCCCTTTTGGCCTGGTTTCTAGCTTGTGCTTGCAGAGGATGTGCTGGGAGCTGCGATGCCGTCAGGTAGTTCCCTGTGCAGGAGCAGAGGCTCTTTGCAAAAAGAAAAATAAAAAAAAATAAAAGAAAATAGGGTTTCGGGCCAGGTAATGAACTGGAGGATTTCAGACTGCCCACAGCTGCATCCCTCCCATCCAGCCCTGCCCCTCTCCTGGGAGCTGCATGTAGGTCAGTCGGGAGTGGGAGGTTAAGCCCCACATCGCTGGATCTTCTCTTAATCTTCCGCCTTAACTGGTGCGTAAGCCTTGGGCCGTAGGAGCCGGGATTTATTCTGCTGCCAGCCAGGTGCCGGCGGTAAGCCTGGACATGTGAATACTGGAGGGGAAGATGTCTGTGTCAATAAAGCAAACTGCCCTGTTGCAGTGCTGTCCTTGAGCTATTTTGGAGCTGTGGGGAGGCACCCGACCACTTCACATTGCTTTTTCTTCTCGTTTTCCTCCAGCTTTGGTAAAGCTCCCAGGTTTTTCCCCCTACTTTTCCTGTGGAACGGAGAGGCTGAGTGTGTGCCAGCATGGCAGGTACGCGGGGGTCTCTGGTGGGGTTGCCCCTCGCCTCTGAAGCCCATTTGGGGCTTTACTGGCCATAATGCCACCTCATTAGTCCCCAGTGGGGTTGCGGGTGTCTGTGCTTGCAGGATCCACATGGTCATTGAGGGCTAAATTTGTCTTGATGCTTGTGAGTGGGTTGGTGGCAGTTACAAGGGGAAATCCTTAATTCTTGTGTGAAACTCATCAATTCTTGGGGCCAAATGACACTAATTAGGAAGACTGATTTGCATCCAGCTTCTGTGCAGTGCCCAATGCCGGTGAAACTTATTATTGCAGAAAAAGTCAACAACTTCCCTCCCCTGCCGAGGTTCATCCCCTTGAAGCCATGTTTCTACCAGGACTTTGATGCGGAGATCCCGCCGCAGCACCGTACCATGGCCAAGCGGCTTTACTACCTCTGGATGCGTGAGTCGCTGGGCGGGGAGAAGCTTGGGTGGGTTTGTGTTTGCCTCTCCGGAGGCTGCTCCTCTGGAAGTCACTGGCTGAAAGAGCAGAGCAAGGTCAGGGGAAGTCCTTCTGCCCCTCCAAGCCTTGGTGTCTCCTCTTAAACCTGCTGGGGATGGGACAGGGGCTGCAGTATCGTTGGGTTTTGAGCCCTTCCAGCCTCCAGGATGGGAGGTGTGGTGCTGGCTTAGCGTCTGAGGGCCGTTGGTGGTGACCTTGACGTCCCGCTGGAGTCTGCTGCGAGGAGGAGACGGCCCAGCACCCATGCGTCCTTCTGCCGAGGGATTTACTCCCCTCTCCGTCTCGCTTGGCTGCTCGCCCCGCCGGAGAGCCACCAAGCCTCCGCGGGCTTTCTTTGGCAGCTGGGCTGGGGAAGGGCTTTCTGTGCCGCCCCAAGCTCCTCCCAAGCCCTTTGGCAGCAGCCTGAGGCCGAGATGCTGCTTGGACTGGAGGGCCAGGGTGCCTGCTCCCCGAAACAGGGGAGCGCGGGGCTTCCCCCAAAGCTGGGTCTTGCCTGTTCCTCTTGCATGCCTCTGTGTGCCGTGCTGTGCTAACAGAGCCGTCACTGTCTTCTAACTCTTCAAACTAGCCCGGATCTCTCTTCCTTACCAGCCCCAGGCAGGCAGAAGAGCTGGAGGGACACAGGTTGCACCCTGACGTACGTGGAAACGTGTGTGCGCAGCACGGGGCAAGCTGGCACCATCGTTTGATTTCTTTTTAGAAGAACTGAGTTCCTTAATCGGGCACTTTCCCTGAACTTTGGAAGCATATCAGAGCCCGGGGAGTGTCCTGTGCTTCAGAGGCAGGTTATGAGGAGCTGAGCTGGCACTGGAGAGGTTGGGCGTTTCTGTTTTCGGCATGGCGCCAGGCCGGCACCCCTGGGGCGGTGCCTTGCTTCGGCTTTTGGGCACCGCGTGCCATTGGGAAAGTGACCCAAGGGGAACCTCCCCCATTATGTCAGGAGGGTTAGCGTGGCTTTTTTATGAAGGGGGAGGAAAAAAGAAGTTATGCTTCCCTGGAGAAGCTGTCTTGGGGGCGTTAAATCCCCTCCCCATCTCAATCTGGTTGTCCTTGCTCTGCTTAATTTAATAGAGCTCGGTTCTTGCTCCAGCTTCTCCCACAGCACAAGCACCAGCTCTCTGAGCCAGTCGCCTGTCTGTTGGTTTCTGTCGCTGGAGCTCCTCTCTGGATCGTTTTCTCCCCAGCTCCCCCGCAAACACCCAGCCAGATGCAAGCGCGGAGAGGCTGAAAGGTCCCCTCGGTGTCCTTGGGGGCTCTGGGGAGCAGCGGGCGCCCGGTCAGCCTGGCTGGCCGAGCTCCCTTTCTTGCCAGCTGCCTCTCTCTTGCAGGCGGCAGTGGGAGGGTTTTGATTCTCGTCGGAATAATGAATCATTCTCAAAAATCGGAGGCGTCAGAATGCAGATGAGCCTTCTCTGCTTTGTCCTGTGTCTGCTAAGCTGGGCTTCATAGTAATAGCCCTTGTATCGCTTGACCCTGAGCAGGGGTGGGAGAAGCAAACACGCCGCCCCAGTGAACCGGCGAGGCAGGGGCCGGGAGTTCAGAACTTCAGCTCTCAGCTCAGGGAACTCTTGCACAAGTTCTTTCAGTCAAACTGTAGCTAGAGGCGAGGGAAAAAGCTTCAGTTCGATTCCTTCGGTTTCCTTCTGTCGGTGCCAACGTGCCCTGGCTCACTGGCAGCGGGAGGATACGGCTCTTCCCTGTCCTCACAGCCCAACAAGCCCTGAGCCTGCTTAAGATTTTACAACTCTGAGCAATATATACATATATATATATTTTTTTTTCCCCCTCTTGCTCCTCAGCTGAGGTTAGACCCCCTTTGGCTGAGGATACTCCCCAGACTCAGCCAGCTTAATGAAGCTAAATCCAGCTGGGGTAACACGCTGCCGGAGGTCAGCCCCGCACGGGTGTCCCTGGGGTCGGGGTCTTTCGTATCGCACTGATGTCCTTGCGTACGCGCTACTGTGCTCCCTCTGTGTGTGTGTGTTTGCAGTGAACAGCATCACCTTGGCAGTGAATCTCGTTGGCTGCCTCGCATGGCTGATTGGAGGCGGTGGAGCTGTTAATTTTGGACTGGCAATTCTCTGGCTCATTCTCTTTACGCCCTGCTCCTATGTCTGCTGGTTTAGACCTATTTACAAAGCTTTCAAGTAAGTGGTCACACCTGAGCCTGGCTTCTCATGGTCGGGTTTTTTGTGTTTGTTTTCCTTCCTAAATGGTTAGCACTTAGCCTGGAGGCCTTGCCTAAATATTTGAGGGAATTTCTGCTGTTTCGGTCCAGCCCTTTAGCTTTACTTTCTAACCTTCAAACCAAAGGTGTTTGGGATTTCCCGAGGGCCAAAACCCCAACCGTGTGATATAAAGACACCCTACGTGTGGCTCTGCACGGCGTCAGGCGGAGTGGTGAGGACGCAGTTGCGGTGCCAACTTCCCCTTCCCTCCCGCCCATCCTTGAGGCTTCTTTTATATTTTTCCACGAGCCCTCGAGGTGCTTGTATTGATTTTCCACGCTGCTGAGGTCAATCCCCGGTGCGTTATACCCGAATCTAGAAAACTGGGGGTGTATTTCTTCCCCATGCGGGAAGGTTGAATCGGATGGTGGGGCGGTGTGAGCTGAGAGCCATGTCCGAACACGGATGCCCTCTCGCCTGATGCGCTGAGCTGACTGAGCCATGGGAAGAGTCTGACGCCCCGTGGCTTTCCTGGGTGCCCCTTTCACCACCTTCAGCCTCTCGCAGTTTCTCCCTTGCCTGTAGTTTTGCTCCGGTGCCTGTTGTCTGCAGGCAGCTCCGCTTCTCACCGCCCTCTCGCTAAACCACAGCTGCTTCTGCCCCAAAAGAGACGTGGGGGCATCTCCCTTCCCTCGCAATGCAGCCTGGAGTGACCGAGCCTTCTCTTACAGGACAGACAGTTCCTTCAGCTTCATGGCTTTCTTCTTCACCTTCATGGCCCAGCTGGTGATCAGCATTATCCAGGCAGTGGGAATCCCTGGCTGGGGCGTCTGGTAAGGAAGATGCTGCTCTCGGGGTGGGTGCAAGGACAGTCACTGTTGCACTGGTGCTGTGGTGTCTTGGTGTTTTAACATCCGTAGTGCTTCAGTAGCTTCTCTCCTTGGGGAAGATTTGGTTTGAGGAGCTGGGAGGGCTGTAGGGGCGGGATGCCGGGAGGCTGCAGTGCGCAGAGCCAGCCGCCTGAACGGGCCGCTTGTTTTGATCTTGCAGCGGCTGGATTGCAGCGATTTCCTTCTTCGGGACCAACGTGGGGTCGGCCGTGGTGATGCTGATCCCCACCGTCCTGTTCACGGGGATGGCAGTCTTCTCCTTCATCGCTCTCACTATGGTACGGGAGGAGAGGCGGGTGAGCCTTTCCAGCTACCCTGGAGTGTCAGCGCAAGCTGCAGTCGCTCAACGCCGCTGGATTTTCTCTTTCCAACCCGCTACAGGTGCATAAATTTTACCGGGGGAGCGGCGGGAGCTTCAGCAAAGCCCAGGAGGAATGGACCACGGGGGCGTGGAAGAACCCCCACGTCCAGCAGGCAGCACAGAGCGCGGCGATGGGGGCGGCGCAGGGGGCCATGATGCAGCACGAGACGCAGTACTCGGCCACCCCGAACTACACCTACTCCAACGAGATGTGAGCAGCGGGACTCTGTCCTCGGGCGAAAGATCTGGGGGGAAGGGAGGAGGAGGAGGAAGGAGGCTGAGCCGAGTTTCTGCAGCTATTTCAGAAAGTCGGAGTGTACTATAACAGTTCTTCTTTTCCCGTTCTTTGTAACAAGATCGTTTTGGATTTTTTTTTTTCCTCCCCGTTACTGTCTTATCTCTTCTTTTCTCTTTCATTTTTTCTTTTTGAAGAGGCTGTGAGTTGACCTGCAGGGCTCTTGTTGTGTGTGGTAGTAAGTGTATGTTCACGTGTCTTCTTTTTCCCTGTGAAATAGTGTATGGTGGTGATTTTTTAATTACTGTGGTGATAGGTGTACGTTAGAGCTACATCAGCCAAAAGCCCTTCCCCTTCCCTTCCCCTCCCCCCCGCCAAAAAAAAAGTGAAAGATAAAAATAGAAACCAGCACCCATCTACCCTCTTGGAATAAGCCCTGAACCACAGGTTTCCAATGTATGTGAGTTTTCTCTTTCAGTTGGTAGTGTCCAGCCACTTGCCACTGTCTCAGCAAGGGCAAGCAATCCTGGGAATTCTCCTCTTCTTTTGCTTTTTAACTAGCAGGTGGCTGGCTGATTTAGCATTAAAAAAAAAAAAAAAAAGAGGAAAAGAAAAACAAAGAAACTCTAAATCCTGCTGTTGATATGCTGGAAACCAAGAGATTCCTAATCTACACCCTGGCTCAGGATCTACAACTTCTCTCAGTGTGTGGTGTTGTAAATGAGTAGTTCACATTTTGACGTGGAAGACCAGTATTCGTGCGTGACTGTGGGCAGGAGCCCCGGCGCACTGCGTGTGTGTGCGTGCGTGCGTGTTGGGGAGCGAGGACAGGTTTTCCCTGCGGGATACAACCGTCCCGTTCCAGATTCTGCATCCTGAGTCTGTTTTTTTAAAGGCTTCTATTTTGAAAATCGGCAGAATGTTTCTCAGAGGACCTATTCTTGGGTAAGGCTCCGGGTCAAATCTTGCCACCACGTGTGCAAGCACGTACAACCAGCCTCACTGACCATGTAAATAGCGAGGCCAAGATTTGTCCCTGTTAGCTTTTGTGGCGTGCACTAATTTAAGGCTCTTAAGGAAAACTCCAGGCTGGTGGGAAAGATTCCCGCTCACTTGCGCTTCTAAACAGCACAGCGAAATGTGGCCATGGTGCAGAAATCCCTGTTCCCATCAGCCCTGAATCCCTGCCTGGTTAGGGGAGGTTGGGCTTTAAATAATCATCTTGCACTTTAGCAGGAAGCGGCTGAGCTCAGACTAACACTTCTTGGGCTGTGGCAGCCAGGGAGGGTGACTGGCAGACCCTGGAAAAGATCGGTTCGTAAATGGGA